CCCGCCGCCGGCGTTCAAGGTTGAACGCCGCCGGCGACCCAGAATCGATCGACGTTGAATGATCGGACGTTGCGGCAGCGGCCGATCGTTCAAGGTTGAACGATCCCTGCGGTGTCAGAAACCAACGCTGGGGTCGGCAGGACACGAACCTGCCGTATGCCATCTCGCGTAAGACCCGTTTCATGTGGTCGCTCGTGTGGAGATCGCAGCGTGCTTTGCCAGCTGCCGTAGGTGACCCGTGGTCACGGCACGCGCAAAAAGAGCACCATTCTCGGGGGAGACTTCCCAAGACTTCGCATAGTGCGCAACCCTGGGATTGGTTAATCGTACAGCTTCGATGCCAACTCGATGGCGGCAAGGCCAGGCACGCTGGCCTCCGCAGCGCGGCCCATCGAAGCTGAAAGTTCGTTCGTGCAGGCGGGAAGATTTAGAGTTTACGCGATGTACGGGAAATGGTATTAAATAAGAGTTGAGCTAGGCCGAGCACAATCATGCTGCACGTATGTCTACGCGGTGCCGGATCGTGTACGAGGCCCCTTACACGTCTCTGATTGGTACAGTATCCTGGGATGTCGTAGGCTTGGTCGTCGCCATTGTCATCAGTTTTTTCTGAACGCCACCATCGTCATCCATGGCCATCGTGACTCAAACCGATAGTCGTGGCACCCGTGCCCGACGTGCCAGGCGTATCAAGTGGGCTGCGCCTTTTGCCGACTGCGTCTCTTCTGATTGGTGCTTGGCTTTGTGACAGTGACGTTGGAAGCAGTTGGTGGGAGCTCTCCAGGCCACCGTCCTGCTTCGTTCGGCAAAACTGTTCCATCTTGGGCATCCTTGCGCAGTGTTGGGGCCACTTGAGCGCAGTGCTGGTGCCGGTTGTTGGTGCCATGTCGTGCCCAACCTGCGGCTTTCTGCATGCATCTTCGACCCCTGGGGACCCTTGAAAGCTCTTGGGGGCCCGGGAAGCCCTGAGCGATCCTGGAAAGCTCGGGGCGGGGGGGCTGTGCGAGTCCTTGAGAGGCTGGAAGCTTTTGGGAGACCCTGGGAGGCTCTGGGAGGCATGGGGAGGGCCATGGGAGGAGGGGGAGGAGGAGAGGAGGAGGAGGTAGGAGGAGGAGGAGGAGGAGAGGAGGAGGAGGGCGGAAGGGAGGAGGAGGAGAGAGGAGGAGGGAGGAGGAGGATGAGGTGAGAGGAGGAGGAAGGGAGGAGGAGTGAGGAGAGGGAGGAGGAGGATGAGGAGTAGGAGGGAGGAGGAGAGAGGAGTAAAAGTAAGGAGGAGGAGGAAGGAGGAGGAGGAGTCGAGGAGGAGAGGAGGAGAGGAGAGGAGGGAGGAGGAGGAGGACTTTTGGGAGGTACTGGGAGCCCCTGGACGGCCTTGGTGGGCGCTGCAAGGCCACGTGCTGCCTCGGGAGGTGGGGGCGGAAGCCCCAGAGGGTGCTCCGGATGGAGGCGGGGACGGTACACGTAGGGTATAGGGTAGATTCGGGTATGGCCAGGACCCTCCTCCTCCTCTCCTCCTCCTCCTCCCTCCTCCTTCCTCCTCCTCCTCCTCCTCTCCTCCTCCCCCTCCTCCTCCTCCTCCTCCTCCTCTTCCTCCCTCCCTCCCTCCCTCCCCCTCCCTCCCTCCCTCCCTCCCTCCTCCCTCCCTCCCATCCTCCTCCTCTCCTCCTCCACCTCCTCCTCCTCCTCTCTCCTCCTCCACCTCCTCCTCCTCCTCTCCTCCTCAATCTCCTCCTCCCCCCTCCCCTCCTCCTCCTCCTCCTCCTCTCCTCCTCCTCCTCCTCCTCCTCCTCCTCCTCCTCCTCCTCCTCCTCCTCCTCCTCCTCAATCTTCTCCTCCTCCTCCTCGGGTCGCCTACGGCCCTGGGGGAAACCGTGCAGGAGGAGCGGGAGGAGGGGTCGGGGAGCCGGGCGGTAGATTCGGGTATGGCCAGGACCCCAGGTAAGGGGACACGGCCAGTGGTAGGGCCCCGGAGCCCGTAAATTGGCCAGAAGCACTAAACCAGGTCTGCCGCAACCTGTTTTGTTCGGATGACGGCAGTTCTGGTTAGTGGAACGGGGCGGGGGGGGCGTCCCCCAGTACACATCACTGAAACAGGTCCCAATAAACCCAGTTCTGCCAACGCCCGGTAGATGCTACCAGGGGTCGTGGCAGGGTTCATCTCGATTCCTCCGATTCGCTTCGGTTCGATTTCGATGGCCTCCGATTTCGATTCGATTCGACTTCGGCTTGCGACTTGGGATTCGATTCCTCAGTGGAGGCCTTCTTGGGATACGACTCCAGGTAGGCCGCCGATCCGGTTCCTTTCGATCGCCGATTCGACGTGTCGACTCGATTATTTGCTCTCCTGCCGTGGGTGGGAGCTGGAGGATTTCACCGAAGGACTTGGGCGACTCGTCCTCCTCCTCCTCCTCCTCGTCCTCCTCCTCCTCCTCCTCCTCCTCTCCCCTCCTCCTCCTCCTCCTCCTCTTTCTCCTCTCCTCCCTCCTCCTCCTCCTCCCTCCTCCTCCTCCTCTCCTCCTCCATCTCCTCCTCCATCCTCCTCCTCCTCCTCCTCCTCCTCCTCCTCCTCCTCCTCCTCCTCCTCCTCCCATGGCCCTCCCCATGCCTCCCAGAGCCTCCCCATACCCCATGGCCCTCCCCATGCCTCCCAGGGGGGAGCCGGGCGGGAGAGGAGGCGCGCGGCGCAGCGGGGCAAGAGAGGGGCCCGACGCCACGGGAGGGCCGTGAGCCGTGAGCTCACGGTGCGGTTGCCTGGGCGCGTGCGTTTCCGCTGCGGTCCGACGTGTGCGTTTCCGGTGCGGTCCGACCCCGCCGAGGCCGGTTCCGGGCACACGTTGCGTGAGTTCGTGCCGATGGTGTCGTAGTGCATCGGCGCATGTGCGTCTGTCTGTCTGCCGGCCTGCCTGCCTGCCTGCCTGCCTGCTTGTCTGTCTGTCTGTCTGTCTGTCTGTCTGTCTGTCTGTCTGTGTGTCTGTCTGTCTGTCTGTCTGTCTGTCTGTCTGTCTGTCTGTCTGTCTGTCTGTCTGTCTGCATGTCTGTCTGTATGTATGCATGCATGCCTGCATGCATGTATGCAGGTATGTATGCATGCATGCATGTGTGTATGCATGCATGTATGTATCCTGCGCTTCTCTCTCTCTCTCTCTTTCTTCTTGTCTGCCCCTCCCCTCTCCAGGGATTTTCCATCGTTCTGCAGCTGCTCGTGCACGACAATTTGTCGCGGTTTGCATCCTGACGCTGCGACTGGCCATCGCACCGCGGCGATTCACCTGGGAGGTTGCAGCTGCCTGTAGGGTTGTCTGCCATTGGGAAAAAACAAACAAGCTGGGGAGGCAGTGGAGGAGGAGGAGAAAAGATTTCGTATCCGCCCCCTTCCCCCCCCCCCCGTGGCCCGACCAGTCTTCAATGCGCTCCTGCCCCTGCCCACACAGGCCCCCAAGGCTGTTCTCGGGGGTGCCCCGGCGTCCCGCCGGCTGCCCGCAAGGCTGGTGTGCCCACAGGGATTCCCCATGTGAGCATGCGGTGAGCGGCCCTGCGCTTCGAAGTATCTGGATGACGCCGCGCGCCCTTGCACAGCGATTCGATCGCAGCGCGCTTCCCGCCCCGTTTCTGTCAAGAACTGTTCCACGGCGTGGTCTCGGGACCGCCGATCATTCGCATGGTATGTGGGGTCGTGGCCACGGGATCGTCGTTTCTGGGCGCGGGCTCATAGTGTTTGACACTGCGTCGGGTAGTTAGGACCGCGAATCCTTTGTACCATTCGATGGATCGTGGCATCGGGAGCGAGGAGGAAGCTTCAATCTTGTGTTCATGTCTACACTGCGTCGGGTAATCAGGACCGCGAGTCCTTTGTATCATTCGATGGGTCGTGGCATTGGGAGCGAGGAGGAAGCTTCAATGTTGTGGGTTTGGCGTGGTATGGCGCCCCGTTGCCGCGAAAGCGCGGTTTGGGTGTGGCATGAGTCGCTTTCGTCCTTGGGATGCCGCGCGCGTTCTGAGCATCTGGCAAAGCTCAGCTCTGAGGCTTCCATGCCATGGGCTTACGACAAACAGTCGTCAGGTTTCTTCCGCACTTTGTGCAGTTGCCAATGCCAATGATGTTGCAGAGCTGCTAGAGTGAACTTGCTAGGTTGCGCAGAAAGCTTCCACTTCGCGGCGTGGTGGTCCCCATGAGGGAGGCCGGCGGAATCCGCGGGCTCCGGCAGTACAGGCACGGAGCTGGCTTGCGCGGAGCGGTGCTACTTTTTGCAGCAATGAGGGAGACGGAGCTGACTAAGTTCAACCGGCACCTCGGAGCCCTGCTGAGGACTTGGCATCGCTCGGACGTGTGCATTTATCCTTCGGCGAGGACCATCGAGGAGCATCCTTGATCATTTGGCGAAAAATCCACGCACGAAACCGAAAAAATCACGGGGAATGGACGTCCGAGCGATGGCCAGAGGAAGAACGTGCTGCTCAAGCAGCGCAGCCCCTGCGCCACTTGCTGCGAGCTCTTCCTGGCCATCGGGGCCGTGGGGCTGCTCGTGCTGGTCCGGGCGCTGGCCAGCGACGTGGCGGCCCTGGAGGTGCCGGCCGAGCACCACGTGGACAGGACGATGCCCGTGCGCCTGCCCGAGTGCGCCGAGTATCTCTCCGAGTGCAGCGTGGACCTCGTGGAGGAGAGGAACCACAGCCTCATTAGGGGGCCACACGCGAACCCTACCCCTACCCCCCACGATTTCTGAGGGGGAGGGTGGGGTTCACTTTGATCGGGAGCTCCCGAACGAAGTGAACCCCACCCTCCCCCTCAGAACTCGTGGGGGGTAGGGGTAGGGTTCGCGTGTGGCCCCCTACTCATGTGCGTCAAGGGCATCACCTTCGGCTGCAGCGCGCCGCACGCCGCGGGCTCCCGGGGCGGCCCCTCCGGCGCGGGGGTCTGGGCCAGCTCCGGCTGCCACGGCGTCTTCCGCCCGGGCGCCGGCGGCCGGGAGATCCGGTGCAGCAGCGGCCAGTTTGGCAGGATGCGCATCTGCACCGGGGAGGAGGACTGGAGCACCGAGGACGAGGACTATAGAGGGAGGCATAATTTCTCTCGGCGACCCGCTCGGATCTCGTGGGTCGGCGCTGGAGCTCGCCTCCCGGGTGTGCGCGAGGCGCGCCGGAGGGCGGCGCCGGAGGCGCCACCGGAGGGCTCCAGCTCCGAGTCAAGAAGCCCGCGCGCGGGGGCCTCCGAGGGTTAGCTGCGCTCGTGCCGCGGGCCGCCGTCCTCTCCCCTCTCCCTCCGAGTGCCGCTGCCGGTCCCCTGGCGCTCCTCTGCGCGCAGCGCCCCAAGTCTTCGCATCGCTCGGGCGTGTGCCTCGCCTCCTCGGCGAGGGCCCACGAGGAGCACCTTCGATCGTCCCGCGAAGAAAAGCAGGCGCACGACATCGAAAAGTGCAACGTCGTCGGTGTCGTCGTCGTCGTCGTCGTCGTCGTCGTCGTCGTCGTCGTCGTCGTCGTCGTCGTCGTCGTCGTCGTCGTCGTCGTCGTCGTCGTCGTCGTCGTCGTCGTCGTCGTCGTGTGGCGTCCGAGCGATGGCGAGGGATGGGCTGCGCAGTGGCCCCGTGCCCGCCCGGCCGACCTGCGAGAGAGCGCCAAGGGTCCGCAGCGAAGCAAAGGGGTCTCCCTGAAGGACGAGGGCGAGGAGTATCTCGGGGGGAAAAAAACACTTGTTTGATCCGCGGGTCGAAAGCGAGCCTCTTCCGATATAAAATAAGCGGGCCGCGCACAGCTTTAATTAGCAGAAGGGCGGGCAAAAGGAGGCGGGCCTCACGTCAGGGAAAAAACACACACAGACGCAATCAATCGTCGATTCTCCAGAAAATATGGAACAATATGGGAAGTGGGGGGGGAGACAAAAACCAAGAAAACATGGGGAAATATGGTGAGTCTGGTTGTTTGTGTCTATTTATTTGTGTGTCCCAGGGCCCCTTCAGTATCGGCGGCGAGCGAGGGGGGGGGAAGCGAGGAGGAGAAGGCCTTCTCAGAAGGCGGCAGGGCTTCTCAGAAGCCCTCGCGCCGTCTGAGACGCTCCCATGTGCCTTCGGGGAGGGCTCAGAACACTTCGGTCCGAAGGCTGGGGGGACTTCCGGGCCCTCTGAGAGGGCCTTCCCCTTCTCGCTTCCCCCCCATCGCTCGCCGCCGAGAGTAGGGAGGAGGAGGGGAACGATCGTTAACGAGGAATGAGCAGGGGGCGCAGGAGGAGGGAACGAGGGGGGGGGTCAGGAGAGGACGGCCGAGGAGGGCGAGGAGGGCCGCCGAAGGCCTGAGGGCGAGGGCGGGAACGAGGGACGCGAAGGGGGCGCAGGAGGAGGGATCGACGGGGGGGGGCAGGAGAGGACGGCCGAGGAGCGCGAGGATGACCTCCGAAAGCCTGAGCCATCGTGCCGTGTGTGTGTGTGTGTATGTGTGTGATGTGTGATGTGTGTGATGTGTGATGTGTGTGTGTGTGTGTTGTGTGTGTGATGTGTGTATGTGTGTGTGGTGTGTGTATGTGTGTGTGGTGTGTGTGTGATGTATGATGTGTGATGTGTGATGTGTGACGTGTGATGTGTGTGATGTGTGTGATGTGTGTATGTGTGTGTGATGTGTGTATGTGTGTGGTGTGTGTGATGTGTGTGCTGTGTGTGATGTGTGTGATGTGTGATGTGTGTGATGTGTGTATGTGTGTGGTGTGTGTGTGTGATGTGTGATGTGTGATGTGTGTGATGTGTGTGATGTGTGTGATGTGTGTATGTGTGTGATGTGTGATTTGTGTGGTGTGTGCGATGTGTGTGTGTGTGTGTGCGTGATGTGTGTGATGTGTGTGCTGTGTGATGTGTGTATGCGTGTGTGGTGTGTGTGTGTGATGTGTGTGATGTGTGTGCTGTGTGATGTGTGTGGTGTGTGTGGTGTGTGTGTGATGTGTGTGCTGTGTGATGTGTGTGATGTGTGTGATATGTGTGGTGTGTGATGTGTGATGTGTGTGTGGTGTGTGTGATGTGTGTATGTGTCTGGTATGTGTCTGATGTGTATGTGTGTCTGGTCTGTGATGTGTGATGTGTGATGTGTGTGCGGTGTGTGTGCTGTGTGTATGTGTGTGTGTGGTATGTGTGTGATGTGTGTATGTGTGTGTGCTGTGTGATGTGTGTGGTGTGTGTGTGGTGTGTGTGTGTGTGATGTGTGTGCTGTGTGATGTGTGTGATGTGTGTGATATGTGTGTGTGTGATGTGTGTGCTGTGTTGTGTGTGATGTGTGTGATATGTGTGGTGTGTGATGTGTGATGTGTGTGTGATGTGTGATGATGTGTGTATGTGTCTGGTATGTGTCTGATGTGTATGTGTGTCTGGTGTGTGATGTGTGATGTGTGATGTGTGATGTGTGTGTGTGTGTGCTGTGTGTATGTGTGTGTGTGGTACGTGGTGATGTGTGTATGTGTGTGTGGTGTGTGATGTGTGTGTGTGTGTGTGATGTGTGTGTGTGATGTGTGTATGATGTGTGTGTGTGTGCGTGATGTGTGTATGTGTGCTGTGTGATGTGTGTGTGTGTGTGTGTGTGTGTGTGGTGTGTGTGTGATGTGTGTGTGTGTTGTGATGTGTGTGTTTTGTGTTGTGTGTGTGTGTGTGGTGTGTGATGTGATGTGTTGTATGTGACGTGTGTGATGTGTGTATGTGTGTGTGCTGTGTGTGATGTGTGTGTATGTGTGTGCGGTGTGTGTGATGTGTGATGTGTGATATGTGATGTGTGTGTGATGTGTGTATGTGTGTGTGGTGTGTGTGATGTGTGTATGTGTGTGTGTGTGTGGTGTGTGTGATGTGTGTGTGTGATGTGTGTGATGTGCGTGGTTTGTGATGTGTATGTGTGTGTGTGGTGTGTGTGTGTGTGATGTGCGTGATGTGTGCGCTGTGTGATGTGTGTGTGTGTGTTATGTGTGTGATGTGTGTGTGTGTGTGATGTGTGTGTGTGTCTTGATGTGCGTGTGATGTGTGATGTGTGTGTGTGATGTGTGATGTGTGTGATGTGTGCTGCGTGCTGTGTGTCTGTGTGCCTCCCCCCCTCCCCCGGAGGGCGAGGGCGAGGGCGACGGCGACGGGCCCGGCGGCGGCGCTCAGCCCGCCACGCCGGACGTGCTCGCGGGCCTGCTGGGCGGCGGGGGCCACGCCAGCATGCGGCGGCTGGCGGCGCGCTTCGGGGTGGCGGCGCCCGACGCGGAGGGGGCACCTCGAGGGAGGGAGGAAAGGCCTTGGCATCGCTCGGACGTGTGGATTTTTGTTCGGCGAGGACCAGCGAGGACCATCCTGGACCATCGAGCCAGAAAACAACCTCCGAGGACCATCCTGGACCATTTTTTCGGCGAGAGCCAGCGAGGGCCATCCTGGGCCACCGAGCCAAAAAGAAAGACACGCGCGAGACCGGCAAAAATGCACGGGCCTTGGCTTAAGTCGGGCCTGTCCCTCTACAGGGGGCATATTCAAAATGGTCAAAAAATAATATGGGGAGTATTGGTTAAGTACTTTTCGACTATTTGGGGGGATGCTTTTTGAATATTTTGTATGTTTCGCCCAAAAACCCCCTGTAGGGGGACACGCCCGACTTAAACCTCGGCATCGCTCGGACGTGTGCATCTTTTTTGTCGGCGAGGGCCAGCGAGGACCAATCCTAGACCATCGAGCAAAAAAAAGCACGCACGAGAGCGAAAAAAAGGCACGGGGAAGTGGGCGTCCGAGCGACGGCAAGAGGCGCCACAGACACACAAACTTTCGGCGCTCCGCGCGGATCTGTCGCTCGGACGTGCGCATTTTCTTTTTTCGGCGAGAGCCATCGAGGAGAGCAAAAAAACACAAGCACGCGCGAGACCGACAAAAAGGCACGGGGAAGTGGGCGTCCGAGCGACGGCAAGAGACGCCACAGACACACAAACTTTCGGCACTCCGCGCGGATCTGTCGCTCGGACGTGCGCATTTTCTTTTTTCGGCGAGAGCCATCGAGGACCATCCTGGGCCATCGAGAACAAAAAAGACACGCGCGAGACCGACAAAAATGCACGGGGAATGGGCGTCCGAGCGACCGCACGAGGCGCCACAGACACACAAACGTTCGGCGCTCCGCGCGGATCTCCTGGAGCTGCGCTGCGCTCCCCCCCCCCCCGGCGGCGCCTCCGGCGCCGTAGGCTCGTGTCGTGTCGACCGGCGGCGACTCCGCCAGCGGCGTTCAACTTTGAACGCCGCGGGGGACCCAGAATCGTTCTCACCACCCACCAAACCACCCCAACCCAACCCGAAGGCTCAGATTTACCCTCGATTTCCAGTGGCGGGGGGGGGTCGGGAAACGTCGAAAAAACACGTGTGGAACCCCTACCCCCCCCAAACCGAAATTCGGGTCTTCGGGTTGGGTTGGGGTGGTCTGGCAGGTAGTCACGTTCTGTGGAGCGCTCTGGACGTTTCGGAAGCGGCCGAGCGTGTAGGGCTGAACGATCCCCGCGGTGTCAGAAAACAACGCCCAAGTCGGCACGACACGAATCTGCCATAGAGTTAAACTTTTGGCGCTCCGCGCGGATCTCTCGGATCTGCGCTGCACCCCCCCCCCCCCCGGGCGGCTCCTCGGGCGCCGTGTGCGGGCCTCTTTGGAAATCTTTTGGCGCTGCGCGCGGATGTCTTGGATCCGCGCTGGGCCCCCCCAGCGGCGCCTCCAGCGCCGCCCCTGGCGCGCTCTGCGCGCCAGGGAGGGGGGTCCAGCGCAGATCCAAGAGATCCGCGCGGAGCGGCAAAAGTTGTTGTTTACAGTCGAAGATGATTAGTAGGTCGACCCTGCCAAATCACGGGTGCCTTTGTGTCCTGTGCCTCGCGACCCATGCTTCCACATTCGTATGGCAATGTGGCCCTGGGAAAAGTATCGTGTCCTCTCGCTTGTCCTCTCCAATGCGCCCCGACTGTATACTTTTGGCGCTCCGCGCGGATTTCTTGGATCTGCGCTGTGCCCACCCCCGTCGGCGCCTCCTGGCGACGCCCCTGGCGCGCCCCGCGCGCCTGGGAGGGGGGGTCCAGCGCAGGTCCGAGAGATCCGCGCGGAGCGCCCAAGAGTTTATGCTCATGGCGCTTTCCCCCCTTGCAGGCGCGGCTCTTCCAGCGCTGGCTCGCCCTCCGCGGCCCCTCGGGAGGGCCAAAAGAAAAGCAGCGCGGGCGTGCAGCTGTTCTCTGGGCCTCCCCGCGGGGCCCGAGCGGATGGGTGTCGAAGGCTCGGGCCGCATCGCCGATGCATCGGCGATGCGGCTCGACGTGGAGGCCGATCGTCGACGTCGACGATGCATCGGGGATCGGCGACGTCGACGATGCATCGACGTCGCCGATGCCTCGTCGATGCAACCTGCGTCGGCGCCATCGACGTCGACGGTGCAGCGGGCTGTGCGTCGGCGACGCGGCGCGATCCTCCGACCCCTCCTGCTCGCACCCCCTTCGGGAGGCCTCCTGGTTGCCTCCGGAGGTCCGCGCGGATGCCACGGGTGGGGCCTCCTCCCGGTGGCGCCTCCGGCGCCGCCCCCCGTGGGCGCGCTCCGCGCTACCAGGGAGGGGGGGCCCCGCGCCGATCCGACCGCGGACCTCCGAAAGCGGGTGCTCGTGCACAGTCAGCCCGCATGGCAAGGATGGGCAACCGTCCCACGGCTAATGGAGGATGACGACCCTGACTCCGGATCCGCCCTACTTTGGCTTTTTTTCCAACTTAAAATGCGTCGGAAATCCACTTATAAGAGGCCGAAAAAGTAGGGCGGAAATTGCTGCACCCAACATGAAATAGGGCGGAAATCCACAGAAACAGCAACAGAAAAGTAGGGCGGAAATTGGCGTCAGCGGGGCTTGAAAAGTAAGGCGGAAATTCCAAGCCCTATTTACGAATTTCCCCAAAGTAGGGCGGATCCGGAGTCAGGGCGATTAATAAATGACCGGGGGTCGTGTTCACGCGGCGGCGCCCGGGATGACGATCAGAAAGAACCGGCCGCGGGCTGGAGAACTATTTTTTCGATCGTTCTCCTCCAGTCAGAACATGATGCAGACATGGCAGAAAACTATCATTTTAATCGTCCTCTCCCATTTTTTTATGAATCGTCATCCCGCATTGCCCTTGCATGCTTGGCCCCTTCGGCCCATCCTCAGCGACTCTCGCTGGCCCGCCTCGCTCGAGAAGCGTCAGCATGAGCCCCCTTAAGGCCCTCGCGCACCCTCACCGCGCACCTCTACGATACGGGTCGGCTGTATACGATGGGCGCCGGCCGAACTTGCGGCCGGCGTGAAATCGCACAGGGGGGGGCCCTGGTCGGCGCCTCGGGCGAACGCGCCGCTCTGGGCCCCAGCGGCGGCTCTGCGGGGGCCCCGAGCCGCCACGATTCCCGCCCTCGCCCCTGCGAGCAGCGCCGGCGTCGAGGGTGTGCGGTCAGGAGCTTCGGCTCACTGCGCGTGTCGCTCCGCCCGTCCTGGCCCGCCGCGGTGCGGCGCGCCACGCGGTGCACTGCCTGGCCCGCCCCCGCCGTTGGCGTCCCGAGCTCTGCCGCGCCGCTCGCCCGGCGGGGCGGAGCGACACGCTGCCCGCTCGCAGGGCACAGCGTGCCGCCGGCGCCGCGGGCGCGGCACGCTTAGCGGGGTGCTGCCGAAGGTGCCCCTGGCCCAAGGTGCCCCCCAGCTCGGCGCCCCACTCGCCCTCCTCCTCCACCTCCTCCTCCTCCTCCTCTTCCTCCTCCTCCTCCTCCTCTTCCTCCTCCTCCTTCTCCGCTTCCTCCTCCTCCTCTTCCTCCTCCTCCTCTTTCTCCTCCTCGTCCTAGTCTTCGTCCTCGTCCTCGTCCTCGTCCTCGCCCTCGTCTTCGTCCTCCGCCCCTGGGGCCCCCTGGGCTTCGCGAGGGCTGCTCTCGGAGGCCGCGGGGGCCCCCCTGGACATCTTGACGGGGGCACCCTGGGCCAGGCGGGCACTCCTGGCCACGCCCGGGCTGCGCAGGAGCTCCTGGCCGCAGGCCCCGCGCGCCCCCGTCGTGCCCTCTGCCTAGGCCACCCGTGGGCGGGCCACGTCTACCTCTTCGAGTCTGCCGACGCGCTGCAGGCCCAGCACTCAATCCCCCACCATCCTCCTCCTCCTCCTTCTCCTCCTCCTCCTCCTCCTCCTCCTCCTCCTCCTCCTCCTCCTCCTCCTCCTCCTCCTCCTCCTCCTCCTCCTCCTCCTCCTCCTCCTCCTCCTCCCCCTCCTCCTCCTCCTCCTCCTCCTCCGCCTCCGCCTCCTGGCCGCAGGCCCACGTGGGCTCCCGGGACTACCCCGAGCGGGACCTCGCGACGAACCGCTCCGCCTACCTGTGCGGCGCGGTCGTGTTCGAGACGTCCCCGCGGCTGCCAGAGGTCCAGGGGCTCGGCATAGCCCAGCTGGGGGTGACGCGTCGGCCCCCTCTCAAGCGCCCACGGGTCGCCGAGGGGGGCCCGATGGCCACACCACGCCCACCGAGGAAGAAAACATGGCATGAGCATAAGCTGTTGGCGCTCCGCGCGGATTTCTTGGATCCGCGCTGGGCCCCCCCCCCCCCCAGCGGCGCCTCCGGCGCCGCCCCTGGCGCGCTCTGCGCTCTGCGCGCCTGGGAGAGGGGGGGTCCAGCGCAGATCCAAGAGATCCGCGCGGAGCGCCAAAGGTTTGAGTTTCTGCAGCGGTTTCTCTCTACTAGTACCCCAGGAGCATGCGGAGTCGCCATCGGAGGCCTGCCGTCGATCTGTCGGCGCTGTACCGCCGATTTCCAGGTCGACGTTTTCCCCCTCTGAGCCTGTCCCTCCCCCGAGCGCTCCCCCTTCGGAGGTGCGGTACACGCTGCGATTCAACCGGAGCCTGCCCTACGACCCGAACCTGCCGCCCCTGGCCTCGATGATGATGTCCACGAAGATCAAGTCGGAGAGCCTGACCAAGAAGAAGGGGTCGGGCCCGCCGAAGTTCAACCCGGGGGGCATCACGTGGTATGAGGGGAACGAGAAGTGACATAAACAGAACGACTCGGAGGTCCGCGCGGCCGAGAAGTCCGCGCGGACCTCCGAGTTTTTATGTTTATGCCACCTTTTGTTCCCCTAGGTACACCCAGAGCGGCTTCCTGTCGATGCAGCGCACCGTGGACACCTTCCTGGAGGACCTCGTGGCCGGGATGCGCACCCGCCGGTCGCTGAAAGTAGTATTTCTGGATTCCCAGACTCCAAATCTATTTTCAGCGCCTTCCTACATCAAGAAGCGATATGTTTTTGCTGCGTCTCGCTATTCTCTGGGATGGCCTGAACCCAATCTACAGTCAACCCGCATGATAAGGATGGGCAACCTTCCGAAGGGTACCCTTGCATCCTTGCCCCTTCGGCCCATCCTCAGCGACTTTCGAGAAGCGTTCACATGGGCCTCCAGAGCCAATGCATCCTTACCGGGCATCCTTATGGTACGGGTCGACTGTTGTACTTTATCCGCGACTTCGCCCCCGGCGCCTGTCCAAGGCGTACCTCTTCCTGTGCAAGCTCTTCGGCACCGCCTGTACTCCGCACCCTCCGGCCGCCTGAGGCCCCGCCCGCCCGCGCCCTCCTGTCTCCCGAATTCGTGTTTCGCGCGCCCCGCCTAGCTCTTAACCGGAAGAGGCCCGCTCCCGACCCGCCGACCAAAAATGTACTTGATCCGCCTCCCATACCTCACGCTTCTGCCCACCTCTTTCGACCGACGGGTGCCCACGCATCCGCGGCACGGCCTCAATGCCTCGCGGCCGCTCGGCCGCGGCCCCCCCCAGGGACAGAGCGCGGGCTCTGCGCGGAGGCCCCGCGCGGCGAGGCATCCGTGGGAGATGAGCATCCATGGGCCGACGAGGTCTGTACACAGATGCACTGCTCCTCCTCCTCCTCCTCCTCCTCCTGCTCCTCCTCCTCCTCCTCCTCCTCCTCCTCCTCCTCCTCCTCCTCCTCCTCCCTGGCCTGGCCCATCCTGAACTCAGCAGCTGTGTAATACGCCCTCCTGGCCAAGCCAGGAGGGCGTGGCGTGTGCACCGCTGGCGGGTTCGGGATGGGCGTGGCCAGGGGGCAGCGTATTTGTGCAGATCTCGTCGCCCTGATCCAGGGGCCGCGCCTCGGCGTCCACACCGCAAGGTGGCGGACGTGGCCAATGCTCGTCGCTCTGGGTCCGACCAGAAGGATCGGTCTCCCGTGGACCCCTCCCGGAGCCCGCAGGAGGCCAGCTCTCTCCGTCCCGGCTCGACTTCTGGCGGCCCCGGGGCCCCAGAACGGTCTCCGGACGCCGAGCCGGATTCGAGATCTACGACTACGAGGTATAAGGGCTCCCACGAGGGCGCGAAGTCATTCGCGCTTCGCGGTCCTCGTTCCTTCTCCCCCTCCTCCCCGTCCTCCTTTTCTCCTTGTGGGGGGGCGGCGCGAGAGCGCGAAGTTGTTCGCGCTCTCGCGGAGCGCGAAGCGCGAAGTTGGGAGCCCCAGCGAGGTGCGGGCGCAAGCCAAAAAAACCGAGAGGTATCACTGCGGCCTGATCTCGTCTGACCACTTGCAGCCAGTGCGTCGTGCAACGCCTTGGCCCAGTGCCCACGCGCTCAGCCCAGATTCCCCGCTTCGCGGCCGAAGTCGGCAGACGCGTGCTGCGTGCGTCGACGCGCGCGTCTTGCACGCGAGGGTCGCTTCCCGTGCTTCGCATGCCGCGCGGGGCCTTTTGGAGGGTGTTCGGCTCGCCCTGCGGCCGTGGCGCGCGGTGCAGCCCTCGCGGGAAAGCTAAGCACCCCTGGGTGCTGCACCTTGCGCCCGGGGGCTGCCGCGCTTGGCTGTTCTTGCGTGTGGGGTGTTGCGGCCCGAGCGGGATCAGCTTCAACGGAAAACGCCCTCCTGCCTCCATCCTCCTCGATCCTCTCTCTCTTTACCAGCCTGGAACATATCCCTATCCCTATGCCGGGCATCTCCTCATCACGATGTCAATCTTAGGGATTCCCTTATTCCCAACCCTCCTGCGTTGGGCACTCGTTTTGAATGGAGCACTGCGGTCGCGTCTCCCCTCCTCCGTCTCGTCCCCCTCCTCTCCTCCCTTCTCCCGATCTGTGAAACTGTCGCCACTTTCGAGGGCTGCTGGGGGGCCCAGCACAGTGACGTCTTACGGGGACTCAGATTCGACCTCGCCATCGCTGGGGGGCTGCGATCCGTGAAACTGTCCCCACTTTCGAGGGCTGCTGGGGGGGGCAGCGGAGTGACGTCTTACGGGGACTCAGATTAGACCTCGCCATCGCTGTGGGGCTGCGATCCGTGAAACTGTCGCCACTTTCGGGGGCTGCTGAGGGGCCCAGCACAGTGACGTCTTACGGGGACTCAGATTAGACCTCGCCATCCCTGGGGGGCTGCGATCTGTGAAACTGTCGCCACTTTCGAGGGCTGCTGGGGGGCCAGCACAGTGACGCCTTACGGGGACTCAGATTAGACCTCGCCATCGCGGGGGGCTGCGATCCGTGAAACTGTCGCCACTTTCGAGGGCTGCTGGGGGGGCAGCGGAGTGACGTTTTACGGGGACCCATTTAGACCTCGCCATCCCTGGGGGGCTGCGATCTGTGAAACTGTCGCCACTTTCGAGGGCTGCTGGGGGGCCCAGCACAGTGACGTCTTACGGGGACTCAGATTAGACTTCGCCTCGCCTGCGATCCGTGAAACTGTCGCCACTTTCGAGGGCTGCTGGGGGGGGCAGCGGAGTGACGTTTACGGGAACTGAGATTAGACCTCGCCATCCCTGGGGGGCTGCGATATGTGAAACTGTCGCCACTTTCGGGGGCTGCTGAGGGGCCCAGCACAGTGACGTCTTACGGGGACTCAGATTAGACCTCGCCATCGCTGGGGGGCTGCGATCCGTGAAACTGTCGCCACTTTCGAGGGCTGCTGGGGGGGGCAGCGGAGTGACGTTTTACGGGGACCCAGATTAGACCTCGCCATCGCTGTGGGGCTGCGATCCGTGAAACTGTCGCCACTTTCGGGGGCTGCTGAGGGGCCCAGCACAGTGACGTTTTACGGGGACTCAGATTAGACCTCGCCATCGCTGGGGGGCTGCGATCCGTGAAACTGTCGCCACTTTCGAGGGC